TCGGAGAAGGAGCGAACCAGGGCCTCCTTGAGAGCGCTGTTCCCCGCGATCGCTGCATCCCACTTCCCCGCCATGGCGACGACCCACTCGTTGGTGAACTCGCTTCGCACCTTGGACCAGAGCTTGACCACTTCTGGCAGCAGCCCAATCGCCCTGTCTCCTCCTGCATCCTTGCGCAGCAAGCTGACGAGCGTGACCATCAGCTGCCACGGCCATGTACCAGTGCGCTCGACCTCCTCGATGATGATGCGCAACTCCCCCCTGGCTTCTGGGGGCAACCACTTGAAAGCCAGGGCGCCCATCTGCTCTACGCCCTTCGCCTTGCTCTTCGCCATCGTGTCGATGGCAACGTTGAGGCTCTCGATGGTGATGGGCGCCCAGTCCTCCTCCGTGGCCGCCTTGCGAGACTGCTCCAGGCGCTGCAAGATTGCCTGCGTGCTGAAGTTGCTCTTCCACTGATTCTTGCTCCACACCGCGCCCTTCGCGTCCATGTACTCCACCATGTCCGACGCGGTGACGCCCTGGCTGCGCACCTCATTGTCACACCTCGGCCTGTCTTTCGTCTTGCGGTGCAACTTGCCGCTGCCTGCCGCTTCCTGCTCCTGCACCCAATTCGTGTAGGCCAGCAAGGCTTCGCCGACCTCCGTGCGCTTACCCTTCTTCGCTGTGGTGAGCGCGGCCACGCCGAGGTGCTGCACTTGCACATTGGACATGCCGTGTATGCTGCTGAGAGCCACTCGCCACTTCCTCTTCTGCTTCGCCGTCATCTTGATGATGCCGCCACTCGGCATAGTGCTGCTGAGTGCTCTGCAGTCGTCACGTAGCCGCTGTGCTCGTTGCCCCTTGCCCTCGCAGCGCTGCAGCTCGACCAGGTACGACGCCAGCGTTCCCCACCACCTGATTGACTGATCCAGGTCGGCGCTGACGCCGATGCCAAGCTTGGTCTTGCCCTTCTTGAACCTGACCTCCTCGCCGCGCCCGAGGTAGATGCTACGCTCCTCGGCCTTGATCTGCAGAGACGACATGTAGTACTGCTCCACCGCGTGCACCCAGGCGCCGTAGCGCGCCCCAAGCTCGCGCGCCCCCTCCTCGTCGAAGGTGTAGGCAAGCGTCTGCTTCACGTACTGCGCTGGCTGCCTCCAGGCGATGCCGTCCTCGGCGACTGCCGTGCGGTACTTCTCGTGCCACAGGAGGTTGCGCTTCTCGATCTCCAGGTCGAAGATCTCGCCCGCCTTCGGCTCGGCGACAGCTTCCTCCGAGGCCTCCTCATTCTCGCTGAGTATCCCGTCCTCGTCGCTGCTCCCGCCGAAGAGCTCCGCCAGCTCGCTCTGCTGCTGGCACTCCTGCGGCACCGCCTCGCAGACGACCACGTCCTTCTTCCGCTCGCCTCGATCAGACCTGGGGAGGGAGGGCTCCGAGGAGGGCGGGGCCTCCGCATTCCTCGCAGCGCTCAACGCACCTGCCTCGTACTCGCTCTGCTTCTTCGCCTTCTGTCTGGACCGCTTGCTGTTCGGGTCCGCCTTCCGCTTCGGCATATCTGGCAGGGGAAAGGGCTTGGCGAGCTTCAGGTTGCGCTGCATCGCGATCTTCGAGTCTCCCCTCAAGTGGACTCGCACGCCGTAGTGATCCCCAGGGTCAGGCGATCTGCATCAACTCTATCCACGATCATCGCGAACGTCTCCGAGCACACCACGTAGTCGAGCATGCGCGCAGGGTTGCGCGTGCACGTGTAGCTGACGTCAGCTGGCGTGATCACCTTCGCGTCGAGCAGTCTTAACCACCCTGCCGCCTGGAGCTCCCTCGGCTCCGCATTCCAGTCGCCTATCGCAGCCCACGGCCCGCTGTGGCCGCGTGTGAGCGCCGCGAGGCGCGCCATCTTCTGGCGGTTCTCGCCGCTCACGCCGATGGACGACGTGAGGTACATGCCGATAACCAGGACCGACTGCCCGCGCCACCGCCACTGCGCTGCTACCATGTCCTGGAAGTCGATCGGCCCTGGCTCCCAATCGCCGTCCAGATACCGCAGCCCCACTGCCTGCTCCTTCTTCGCTGCCAGGTGTCGCATAGACGTCACTGACAAGAAACCTCTCATGGCCATGCCGATGCCGCCCGCCAACTCACTCCGCTTGTTCTTGACCGACGGCGTGACCACCGCCTTGAAACCCCTGAAGTCCAGGTGCTCGACGATCTCGTTCGTGCCGTCGGCGCCGACGTGCGTCTCAGGGAAGATTATCACGTCGTCCCTGAGCGAGTCGATCTTCTTCTTCAACCTGGGCCCCCAGGTCGACAAGTTCTGCATGAAAATCGTATGGCTAGGAGCTCGCCGTACCCCTTCGCCCAGCTGCGTGTGCGACCCTTGCGGCCTCGACCGCTGCCGCCAGCTCGCGCTTCTCCTTCGCCTCCTTCTCGGATAGCGCTGCTGCTTCGGGTGCTGCCGCTGCTGCTGGCTGTGCCGCTGCTGGTGGGGCCCCACCCACTGCGGCTGCAGGGGGTCCGCCTGACGCTGGCGCTCCTCCCGATGCTCCAGCTTCAGCTCCGTCGAGTTCAGACTCGGCTGCGTCCGCTTTGCGCTTCTTCCGAATCCGATCCAGGAACTCCTGCTCCTGCTGCTTCTGCTGCTTGAGTGTAGCTGCCGCCTGTGCGAAAGCCTCCTTCGCCGCTCCCTTCGCTGCCTCCAGGAAGAGCTTCTTCCTCTTCTCGAGCTCCTGCCTGTCCGCCTCCGAGATGTTGTCGTCACTCGCGCACTCGAAGAGGCTGCCCAGGTCCACGTCGATCTCCTCGTCCTCCAGGAGGGCGCCCAGGGGCAGCACGCGCTGCTTCTTCGCGTTCTGCGCCCCGTCACACTTGAGGTCGCCTCCGAGGGGGTGCCGCTGAAGTTCGATTTTGACCTCTGCCTCTGCTGCCGCCACTTCTGCACTGCGCTGCACGATGATGCTGATAATCCGCCGACCCCTTGTGGGTCTCTAGGCGTGTGAGATTCTCCCCCCTCCCACAAGGCCCCGTTGGGACCCCAAACCGGCAATTTGAACCCCCCCCTTCGCCCGGCGCGACCCACGGCCAAACGAGTCGCGACCCCGGCGCGACCCCGTCCAAGAGGGCGACGAGTCGTCGAAATATCCCTCCAAGGCGCCCACGATGGCTTCCAAACAGCCTCCGAAGCCCCCAAGACGACCCAAGAGGCCCCCTAAGAGGCGTCCCGATCGAGCCCCAAGAAGCAGAAATCGTCCCACTCCCTTCGTAAAGCGTTCTTTTTTACCAAAGTGGCCTCTTGCGGTTTCGCAGCGACCGACACGGACCATGGAACCTTCCGTATCCTCCCATGACGGCCTCAGCAACTGCCGAGGGAGGTCCAAGAGGGCCCAAAAACGGCCCAAGAAACGCCCAAAACGGCCCACGAGGGCCTCCAGACGGCGCCAAGATGGAGCCGGGAGAGCAAGTTTTTGGTTCTTTGGCTCCGAGATACCCTTATCCTGCTGCAAGAACCTCCCAAGTGGGCCCCAGGGAGCCCCAAGCGAGGCCCAAAAGGTCCCCAACAGGCCCCCAGACAACCCCCAAGAGGCCCATACAATACCTCCAAGACGCCCCCGTGACGCCTCAAGACCAAGTCGTGACTCCTCCTACTCCCCCCCTTCTTTGAATCCCTTTCGCCTCTCCCTCATCGTCCCCCTGTTCCTCCTCCTCCTCCGCTTTCACCTTCTGCGCGTTCCTCTTTTCATCGGATTCGTCCTCCCTCTCGTTCGCACCACCGCTGCTCCTACTTCTGCGGGCCATGGCACGGGCGCCCTCCTGGTATCATTCGCATGCCCTGCATTTCAAGGTGCCCTTCTTCTCGTCACGCGCGACATGGCTCGCGTCCACGAAGACAGCCGACTTCGGCAATTTCCTCTGGCACTTGCCACTGCACTGAAAGGCCTGCCAACTGCGCGACGCGAACCCTCCAAACACCAAAACACACCATCAAAACATTGAACTCAATTAAGGGATTGGCGGATGTGGCGTAAGCCTATAGAGTCATGGTGATGGCGATGATGTGGATGACGATGATGATGATGGTATTGATGATGATGATGGTGATGATGATGATGGAGATGAACATGACGATGCTACTGATGATGATGATGGTGATGATGATGCTGATGACGATGACGATGACGATGATAATGATGATGATGACAATGATGATGATGATGATGATGATGATGATGATGATGATGATGATGATGCTGATGTTGATGTTGAGGTTGATGTTGTCGTTGATGATGATGATAGTGATGATGATGATGATGATGATGATGATGGTAATGATGATGATGATGAAGATGATGATGACGACGATGACGATGACGATGACGATGACGATGACGATGACGATGACGATGACGATGACGATGATGATGATGATGATGATGATGATGATGATGATGATGATGATGATGATGATGATGATGATGATGATGATGTCGGTGGTGGTGGTGGTGGTGACGATAATGAGCAGGCGGAGAAGGGTGGTTGGGAGCCGAGCGAAACGAAGCTCGCAACCAACGCGGTGAACAACACCCACGAGGCGGGGGGCCAACCAGAGGGTTGGCGTTCCTCCCCGAGGCGAGCCCGCCAGCCCTGCAGGTCAGCGCTCTGAACAACCGGCTGGTGGCCAAAAGCTCCGAGCTGAGCTGGAGACATCGCTGCAGCCAGGTGGCCCCACCAGGGGGGGGGGTCCGAGACCCCCCAGCCCCTGACGGAAATGCAGGGGCAGGGTGCGCCGGTGGACGCAGAGAGGAGCAGAAGGAGGCAAAACTGAGTAAGCATCATCTCTTCGGAGCTCCACGCGGATCTCTCGGATCGGCGCTGGGCACTGGGCCCCCCTCCCTGGCGCGCGCAGCGCGCCACGGGGCAGCACAGGAGACGCTGCCAGGGGGGCACAAAGCTAATCGAACCAATCCGCGCGGACCTCTGACAAATTGTGCGCATGTCATCTTCTTCGAAGAAAAAAGTAGGGTCGCCTTCGCCGCTGTGTAGACGTGCTTGTACATCGAGAACATGAAGCAGCCAGCGACCACAGCGGTCACCAGCAGCGAGAAGACCGAGTAGACGTACCAGACGCGCCTGCGCCAGGGGGCGGGCGGCTGGCGGCGGCGACGGCTCGGGTGGAGCGGCGCGGAGGGAACCCAGGTAGGAGAAGGAAGATCGAATGTCGAAGGGGGCCCAGGGAACCCAGGGAGGAGGAACCCAGGGCGGGAGGAGACGGAGGAGGAGGAGGAACCCAGGGAGGGAGGAGGGAGAACACAGGGATGGAAGGACACGCAGATCGACTGCCGTCGCCGAGCCCCACGGGGAGGAGCGATGGAGGCACCACTGTCAAGAAGACCTCCGGGGAGGCCGCTATGGACGATGCTGGAGGCGAGCACCGTGTGCCCAAAGGAGGGAGGGACGGCGACCCAGCCGCGAACTAGGGGAAAAAAGAATGACATACAAACTCGGAGGTCCGCGCGGATCTCTCGGATCGGCGCCGGACTCCCCTCCTGGCGCGCGGAGCGCGCCAGGGGCGGCGCTGGAGGCGCCGCCAGGGGGGCCCAGCGCCGATCCGAGAGATCCGCGCGGAGCTCCGAGTTTGTATGTTTATGTCATTCCTCTGTCCCCCGAGACCCCGCCGCGAAACGGCCCAGGCCCCCACCGCCCCCCCGACGCCACCCCCTGTCAGGGCCCCGTAGACCCGGACACGCTAGACCCGGACACCCAATATCCCTCGATTATCCTTGGTTTTCCGTGTCCTGGTTTATCTGTGTCCTGGTCTCTGGGGGCCCGACCCTGCCGCCAGCAGCGGCCGCCAGAGCTGCCCCTCGGACGCTGCCGCGAGCGCAGCCGCCGCCCCGCCCCGGGGCAACCGCAGGGCGCCGATGCCCGCTGCTCCTCAGCCCTCGCCCGGGGCGCGCCCTGGCCAGGATCCCGCGGCGAACTCGGCGGCGGCGAGCCCGAGGCGACCTCGGCGGCGGCGGCGAGGGCCTCCCTGGGAGGCCCAGGAGGGCGAGCTCGCGGGTGAGGGGAGCGTTGTGGGTACAGGGCAGTTCTTAATACATCGGATTTCTAAGCATATTGATTTCTGAATACATGACTAATGTATGAAAAAATCATGCATGAACTCATCGTTGTGCTTGATACTAACTAAATCCCTGCATGTTTAGTACATGATCCGCACGCGGAGCATGTTTACAAAACGGCACTGTACCTCGTCCCCCTCGGACGCCCACGCCGCAGGCCTCGCGGAGGCGACGGGTCGGGGCCCGAAGGCGCGCGCCCCGCGAGTGGCGGCCTCGAGGGCCCCAGGCCGCGACCTCGGACCGCGAGCGGCGGCGGGCCCTGCCCGGCCTGGAGCACGCCGGAGAAGCCGGGCGAAGAGCAGCGGACGGCAGCGCGGAGGCTCAAGACCTGGCCTCGAACCCATCCCTGCAGTCCACCCGCACCACGAGGACGCATGATGCGGGTGCAGGGGCCCTGGGAGGCCCTGTCGGCCCCCTGCGAGCGAAGCGCGGCCGGCGAAAGCGGCCAAAGATGGGCGGAAGGGGAAGGATGCACGGGTGCCCTTGGGAAGGCTGCCCATCCTCACAGTGCGGGTTGACTGCATCCCTGAGATCGGGATGCCCCAATCTCAGGGAGGTGCCCTCAGAGACGGAGAGAATCCTTGAGATCGGCACCGAGGTAAGGTGATGCCACGCATAGGGAGAGGGACACGTCTCGAGCTGGTAACCTGCCACTCGCACAACTGCTCAGGGGGGGCCTCCGTGCAGCGCCCCGTCCCCTCGCAGACAGCCATGGCCTGCCGACGGTTGTTCCATCTATCGGCGGCCCCGTGTGCTCGAGCCCGCGCCGTGAGGAGCGTCCTCGGGCTGCCTCGCCGCGGGCCTCGCCTCGGGCTCCGAGCTGCCTGAGCGCAACCAGGGTGCCATCCTGCGAGAACGGCCCCTGTGCAGCGTACGATGCCTGGAGCTCCCGAGCCGTGATGGGGGGGGAGGTCGGGCCAGCGGCCCAAACCCGAGGGGATCGGAAGTGGCGCGACCTCGTGAGCGGTGCAAACTTGGGCCCAAGGCCTATGCGCATCATCAGCCAACACGAACGGAGCGGAAGGGGCACCAACTGAAAGGATCTCTTGGACCGCTCTGACCTTTGAGAATCTGCGCGCCTTGGACGCACCTGACTGAAAAGGCTTCTCGAGCCCACGCTTGCCATGCGTGGGCGGATGCACTCTCAGGCTTGGTAATGACACCCCTGCCTCGGGTATGAGTGCCCGTGGCCTCGTTGGCAAAATCAGGCCTAGCCAACACAGTGCACCCGCTCTCCAAGCACCTTCGGGCGGGCTCGTCGGGATGCAACAAGACTTGTTTGCAGCGCACAAGTTTGCTCATGAATCTGGCGAAATCCGCCTGGGACTGCAAAGGCTTAGAGCATTGCAAGGGCGTGACCGCGCAAAGAGCGCTGGCGCTCTGGAGGACGCCAACCTCCTTCGTGAGGTACTGCCGCATCTTAGTGGTATGCTTGATCCGACTCAGAGCGGTGGCCCAAGCACGAGCACTCGGATCTGTATACCTCCTCTTTCGGGGTGGGGCCCAGCCCAGCTTCTGCCAACGGACCTCCTGAGGTCCGCCGCGGCCAACATAAGCCTCGGCGCGGGCCCCGACGGCATCCCAACGACCCGCGAGTTCCCTCGAGGAGCAAATCCCACAACTCCGGCAGCGCGTCCCCCGACTGAGCCTGAGGCGCCGCAGCCTGGAGCACGGCCTTCCACGGGAAAACGGACGGCCGCGCACATCCAACGGGCGGCACCGCAAGAAAAGCATTGGTATTCTTGGCCGCTCTAGCCCAGCCTGGCTCAGAGCGGTTGCACATCTCGACTGAGCCAGGCAGATGTAGAAAAGTGGTGGCAGTCTCGTCCACCATGGCCCCTGCCTTGAGCTTGCGCAGGAGCCAACTCGAGCACGGACAAAAATCATAGTAGTTGTGGCCTGGCGCAGTCTGCCGACACGTGGCAACCGATGGACACACATGTACCGCTCCCACTCTGGCAAGCCACTCCGACTGGTTGAGAGTACTGATAACAATGTTCCAGTCACCTGAAACCATCCACGGCAACTGCGTGCCATTGAGCAAGCTGAGAGAAAGAGGAGGAGGAGGAGGAGGAGGAGGAGGAGGAGGAGGAGGAGGAGGAGGAGGAGGAGGAGGAGGGGCAGGAGGAGGGAGGAAGAGGAGGGAGGAGGAGGGAGGGAGGAGGGAGGAGGGAGGGAGGAGGGAGGAGGAGGAGGAGGAGGAGGAGGAGGAGGGAGAGGAGGAGAGGAGGGAGTAGGAGGAGCAGGAGGAGGAGGAGGAGGAGGAGGAGGAGGAAGGAGGAGGAGGAGGAGAAGGAGAAGGGAGGAGGAGGAGGAGGAGGAGGAGGAGCGGGGAGGAGGAGGAGGAGGAGGAGGAGGAGGAGGAGGAGGAGGAGAGAGGAGGAGGAGGAGGAGGAGGAGGAGAGGAGAGGAGGAGGAGGAGGAGGAGGAGGAGGAGGAGGAGGAGGAGGAGGAGGAGGAGGAGGAGGAGGAGGAGGAGGAGGAGGAGGAGGAGGGAGGAGGAGGAGGAGGAGGAGGAGGAGGAGGAGGAGGAGGAGGAGGAGGAGGAGGAGGAGGAGGAGGAGGAGGAGGAGGGGGGAGGAGGAGGGGTAGGAGGATCAGGTACTGCTTCCCCCCGGGCTATCCGCCCCTGCTGTGGTCGCCAGCGGTGGCCGCCGTCGCCGTGTGCCTGGGCGTCGGCGTCGGCGGCGGTCATCGCAGCCGCCGCCGCCGTGGTAGTCGGCGTCGCCGTCGACTCGCGGGCCGCGCCTGCGGCGCCGTCGCCGTCGCCACGTCGTAGCATCGTCCTCGTGTCGCCGCCGTGAGCAGTGTCGTCGCGTCTTCGTCCTCGTCACTGTCTCCGCTGTCGCAGCCGTCGCCTTCGCCGTCCTCGTCGCCGTCGCCATCAACGCCGTCGCCGTCGTGGACGTCGCTGTCGCCGTGTTCGCCGTCGCGCGCCTGAACTTGCGGCTCTCCTCGTCATCAAGCTGGCGGTCGATCATCAGGTCGGCGATCCAATACGACTTCGTGAAGTCGATGACGGGGATGCGCTCCGAGAACAGCTTCCTTTGAGAGAGGGGCGAGGGCGAGAGGAGGAGGCTCGGAGGAGGTGGAGGGAGGACAAGGGGGAAGGAGAGAAGAGAAGAGAAGAGAAGAGGGAGGGTCGAGGTTGGAAAGCGGCGAAGGGGGCCAGGATCTCGACTCCGAGGCACGCTTCGAAGCTGGGCGGCGGAGCAAAGAGCGGCGCAGCAGGCGACGACGAACCCACGAGACACCCCACGGCAGGCGTCGTATATACGTCACACGTCGAAAAAGCACCACAGCCCCCCACCCAGGAGGCGGAAGGAGGTCAGATGGGAATGATATCATGGTGCGATTAGCCCAGGAGGCGTTCCAAGATTTGGAGAACGTCTAGCGGCCCTCGTTTCTGCAGACCGTGTGTAGCATTCGGAAACCCGCCGACCCTGTCGGCGTGTGTGAGGGGCATTTCCGTTCGAGTCGGGCTTTTCTGTTGGAGTCGTCGTCTCCATCCTCCTCTTTTTTATAATCCATGATTGCGCGCCGTCCAACGCAAAATTGAACAACATCGGGGTGGCATCGAAGGGACGCCCCTTCCCTTTGATCCCTTCCCCGCGCCAGGGAGGGGGTCCCTGGAGGGGTTCCGGGGGTGTCCCAGAGGGGTCCCGGCGGGTGGGTCCGGGGGGGGTCCCGGGAATCCCGGCCCTGGCCCTGGCCCCCAGCCCCTGGCCCAAGCCCTGGCCGTGGCCCCAGCCTCGGCCTCGGCCCCGACCCAGCCCTGGCTCAAGCCGCGGCCCCAGCCCAAGCCCCATCAGAGCCCAAGAGGCTCCCAAGAGAGCCTCAAGAAAGGCTCCAGAGCGTCAGCGTAGTCGTCGTGGCCGCTGCCGCCGCCACCCCCGCCGCCGTCATCGTCGCCGGCCTCCTAGGTGGGGTCCGAGCAGATGGTGTCGGAGGATCGCGCCTCATCGACGATGCATCTCCGATGCATCGTCGAGCTATCGCCGATGCATTGGCGATGTCGGCCATGCATCGGCGACGCTGGCGTGGAGAAAATCGTGTTCCACATCAAGCCGCATCGGCAATGCATCGGCGACGAAGCGCGATCCTCCGACCCCATCTGCTCGGAACCCATCGGGGAGGCCCAAACATTTGAGAAACCCTGTAAATCTTAGAACGTACACCATTACACTATTACATGACCTCTTGCTCCTCTGAAGGTAGGCAGAACGAGGAATTAAGCAGGGACCAACCGTCCAGGCATTCCTATAGGCCTACCAGGAAACGTTATTAGAACCAACACATGTTCGAAGAGCAGAAGCAATGCTCTTAGAACAAGAACCCGACGTATTGAAACAGGACGGTATCAGACAGACACGTTTCAAGAACACGTCGTGCAAACCACAAAAGGTTATCACAACACCTTCTGGTGGGCCTAACAGGCAAGCCAGGACGCTTCGCCACTGCTTTGAAGGAGGAAGACTGGCACCGCAGGCTCCCGCCGTCATGGCGTGACCCCGAACGATCAGCGGGAACCCCCGCGCCAGCTTGGCCATCGCGTCGAGGCCGCATGGACCTAGAGCTCGAGCAGGGACCGCACGTCCTGGCATTCCTGCCGGCCTGCCAGGACATGCTTGAAGGGGCCAAAGAAACACACAAACAAATGGACACAAACCCCAGAAGTCTCAATCTTCTTGCGTATGTTATAGATGTTCGTCTTCCCCTCCACTTCCCACATGTTCTTGCATTGTTGTCGGAATCGACGGTGATTTGTGAATGTGGCCATTGTTTCCCTCCTGAATGATTTCGGAGCAAAAGGATGGCCTAATACCACAAACCGTGTTCCCACTTACGATCACATGTCTGAGAACAAGACTGGCTCCGCCAGACATGTTCTCAGAGCACTTCGTGCAGACCACGAACCATTATTAGAAAACTCCCTGGTGGCCCTATAGGCAAGTCAAAGCTCTTCGCCACTGCTTCGAGAGGAGTGTGGGCTGACTGGCCTCTGCACCCAAGACGAGGCCGACGCCGACGACGATGCCGACACTGATGCCGACGCCGATGCTGACGTCGCGACGCCGCCGCCGATGGCGACATCGATACCGACATCGACGCTGACGCCAGCGCCGACGAAGCCAGCATACCGCCCGCGACGATGGGTGGCACTCGGGGGGAGAAAGAACGCGCACCGTTCCGGCCGTTTATGGGCACGCGGTGGCAGTTTAGGGCCATTCAGGGAGCCCTGGGCCCGCCCTGGTCTCTTGCCCGCCTGGATGCCGCCCCGTTGAGGTGAGAGCAGATGGGTTCGGAGGATCGCGCCGCATCGCAGATGCATCGGCGAGAAATCGGTGACGTCGGCGGTGCTTCGGCGATGTCGGTGTGGAGAGAATCGCTGTGCATGATGGTTAGCTGCTGCTGCTGCTGCTGGTGATGAAGATGCTGATGATGATGAGGATGAAACTGATAACAACCATGGTGATGAAACTGATGATGATGATGATGATGATGATGATGATGATGATGATGATGATGATGATGAATATGACGATGGTGGTGGTGATACTGTTGAGGTTTACAATGCTTATGATGTTGATGTTGTTGATGATGGTGATGTTGATGGTGAAGATGTTGATGATGCTGATGGTGCCGATGCTGATGTTGATGTTTTTGATGATGATGATGATGGTGACGATGATGATGACGACGATGATGATGATGGCCGCAGCGCTCCTCACGGCCGTGGCCGTGGTCTCCTCCTCACTGGTCGCGCAGTTGGCGCACTCGCTGCTGCCCGCCAGCATGATCGCGCCGCACGTGGGGCATCCCAGGGCCTGCACGCAAAGGCCGAGAACCGCTCCGAAGACCCAGGATCGAGGTGCTCCTCCGGGTGCGTCGACTCTCTTCGAGCCTCTTCGAGGTACCCCATCCTCCAAGCCACTTGAGACCTTCACACCCGCCGATCTGATTGTTTCTATCAGCGGCCGCAGAGATCCCGACCGCCTCCCTTGGGATAGATGTTCGTCCTGGGTCCATTGTCGATGGTCCCGGGCCCTGGAGGCCGGAATCGAAAGAAGACGCCAAGATTGAACAACTCGTATCGTCGGAGATCTGGAGAGGGCGTCCAGGCCAGCGGAGGAGAATTGAGCAGGAACCGACCGTCCCAGCATTCCTGTAGGCCTACCACGAGATGATCTTAGAGCATACTACTCTGAGACCGTAGACAATGTTCTCAGAATGAGAACTGCAGCCGATGTATGAAGACAATGCGTTGCCAACCTGCAATGCTCAAAGAACACTTCGTGCAGACAGCACAGAACTGTTTCAGAACATTATTCGAGGGGTTATAGGCAAGTCGGGGCGCATCGCCATTGCTCGAATAACTGGCCGTGGAAGCCGACATCGAAGGAAAACGCCGTGACAGAACAAATCATGCCGTCGGAGACTTGCAGAAGGCATGTCCTGGGCGTTGCTCAATGCGGGGTGGCCTTCAAGAGGAGAGGGGGGGGGTAACGTGCACCTTTCGTCCCCGTTTTGGACCCCAAGGGGTCCTCCTGGGGAATCCTCTGGGCCCCATGGAGGAGGCCGTCGCCACCTGCGGCGCGCGAGCCCTCTGCCGGAAGGACCCCCGGAGAGGCCTCCCCGCGGGCGACGACGACGACGACGAAGACGACGAGGACCACTGGCAAACCTCCGAGGCCGCTCCGCGCTGCCTGGGCCTTCGGCGCACCACGGCCGCCCACGAAAGCTGGAAGGCGGCGGGGGGGGGCCAAGGCCGCGACGCGCGCCGAGTCGCGGAGCCGATGCTGCCGATACGCTCCGAGAACAGCTTCCCCCGAGGGAAGGGCGAGGGCGAGGGCGAGGGCGAGAGAAGAGGGCACAGGGGGGGAGGGGGGAGGGGGGCGAGGCTTGAAACCGGAAGGACAAAGGGACTTCGACTCCGAAGCACGCTGCGGCAATGGGCGGCGGAGCAGACAGCAGACGAGGGGCGCGGACAAGCAAGCGACGAAGGATCTACGAGATACCCACAGGCAGGCGTACGTTACACGCCAGAGACGCTTCGCAGGCCCAGGAGGGGCAGGGCAAAACAGGCGGGACCACCGAACATCGAATCGGATCGACCGCGTCAAGATGCACAACAACGCCATGCAGGTGGGCCGCATCGGACCGTTGGAATATCGCAGTCAAATCGGACCGGGCCGGCCGAAACCGATATCGAATCGGATCGGATCGGGCCTGCTGGCCCCAAGAAAGGCGGCCCACGGTGCGGTTCGGACCGATGGGAAGACAGATGTGAACCCGACCCCTGCGTGCTCGTCCTACTCTTCTCCCCCTTCTGCAACGACAGCGACGGGCTTAGGAGAAAACGCGTCCATATCTCTTGGGTCGGCGCTAGATACCCATCCCTGGCGCAAAGAGCGCGCCGGAGGCGCCGCCAGGGGGCCGCAACGCCGCCCAGGGACTTCAGCTCCGCGCGGGCCTCTGGAAGTCCTACCCAACACCCACATGCGAACTATACCTCTGCAAATCAAGTGTCTGATGCTCCGGCGGGGGGGCAACATTCGAGGGATGCTTGCAGTCAGCTGCAATGAGATTGGTGGCTTCACCTTCTTATACAAACTCGGAACCAGACAGTTACGGCTTCTACTGACTGCTCATTATGCTTGATACTCCTGCCTGCTAAATTCAATGCTACATTGCCGCATAAGAACAGGAGATCATGACTGCCGCGCCTCGGCTACAGGCAACAAACTGATGCCATACCAAAATATATAAACTAAACTTGTAACTGGAAACGGGACGGTGGCCACGGACGTACGCAAGAAAACTCGGTTCAAGCCAGAAGTCCCTTCTGCGTCAAAGCCCTGATCGAGTCGAAAACGAAGCCGACTGCCGTAATCGGAAGGTCCTGTACGCCGGCGGCCATCGCCTTCGTCAAAAGGTCGGCCATGAGCTCGGCAGTCCAAATGGTCGCGATCAGCATGGCCCTGCTCGCCACATGCAGATAACGTGTATCAGCATGCCTTTGTTTGCCCAACCCGACGAAAGGCGAATCATTTCGCTTCCGCGCAGTCCGTTTTCGCGTTCGGAAGGATCGAAAAAAAAGGATAGCCTCCAGTCCAACATCAGCGATTTCATGCCCAAAGCAAGGGCACGACCTTTCACTGCGACATAATAGTCGCTCTCGCCGACATTAGACGCGATCGCGCTCTGCACAGTCGAGCTGCTCTTGAGCAAGTGCTTCCCGAAGAAGATCGCCGTCTCGCTGACGGTGCTCCTGGCGATGCTGCCACCAGCGCGGTCTGCATCAACCCAAGCATCTGGCGAGTCCAGCACGGCCTGCCTGGGGAACTTCAGCATTGCCCTGGACGTCCAAACACATGGCGCCCAATAAACTACAACTCCTGGAAAAGAAATCCATCGGGGTTCGTCATGCTCTGCGCAAAGCATGTCATTGTGGCAATCCGGTTCAAGGCGCGCGCCTCCTGGGAGCCACCTGCCCCCGAGCCAGGCGCTGCCACGTTCCCGCACTCGAACTTACAATTCAACAGCGCGCCAGCGTCCTCAAGCGAAGGCTGATCACCCAAGAAGACGCACTAAATCTCCACGGACGAAAAGTCGCGATGCATCAAATGGGTCGTGGAATATAGATGGGTTGCTCTTTTCTCGGGCGTAGCATTTCATGGCCAAGCGGTCGGCGTTGCTTTTTCTGCCGCAGGTGGTTTGCGCCCTGGGCCCTGTGCTTCGTCTTCTGAAGCAAGCCAGCATGGGTGCGTCTACCGGAATCTTCCTCCAGCAATCGAACAAACAGTATCCGCTCGCACTTCGACGTGACATGTGCCCGTGGGATGTCCCAGACAGCTAGCTTGAGCTCAACGCATCTGGAACTCCGCCGTCGCGTCGACTCGGCGCTGCAGAGACGCTTCGCAACCTCCAGCCACGGCATGGCGGAAAACAGCTTCGCTGCTAGACCTTCGACATCTTGCCCTTCGTGGTCCCCGCCGCGACCAATCGAATACGCGCAAAAGAGTTTCTTAGGATCGCCCTTGTTTGTGTCAATCCACAGCAGCTGCATCGCACTAGCGCGCTCGCTTTCCATGACCTCCCGAGGGTCTGGGGCATGCGCGCCCACCTTGGCAAGCCAATCCAGCTCCAACTGCCGAGTGTCCTCCGCCAACCTCGTCAGTAGAATCAGGGGGGTGGCGTCATCGTAATACGTTTTACACTGGCTGTCGCTGCACACCTCCCGCTCCTCCGCCATAGGCCGGGTCGAGCAGATGTCCATACTCGACAACTCGATCATGGGAACAAGCAAATCACGAGCCACACGCGGAATGGCATGCATCAACGAAGCGGATATATACATACATACATATATATATATGTATGCGTAAACCTCACATGCTCTAAGAGCATGCCTGTGGGGACCCCCCCCGCGTACGTGACGTTCGGTACCGTTGCGTGGAGGGAAGAGGGAGAGAGAGGGGGGCGACCCCCCGACACTAAGAGACGTTACGGGTCCACCGAATCAACATAAACAAATCCTCTCCGATCTGGACGCCGATGCGCCGCCGAGGGCAGCTTCCGGCGGGCCCGCGGGGCGGGGCCTTGCGCTCCCGGCCCAGCTGTTCCAGCCTCTCGGCGTGCTCCGTCATGCGGCGGCAGAGGTCCTCGAGCTGGTACCCGTCTTCGTCGTCTGGCGCCATGGGCGGTCAACGACGTCGACGTCGACGCAGACCACGACTTTGTCGTGGACGATATCTGTACGAATTCCAGGTCGAAGCCGACCGCGACGGCGACGATGTGTCGCCGCGGCCAACGACGACGTCAGCGTCGACGTCGGAGAGGGATCGAGGGATAGGATCGGGGAGTGGGGCCATTTCAACCCATCTGTGAGCCTCTGGAGGCCTCTTGTCTGTTCCCTCCTCTGCCATCCTCCCTTCTCATCTCCCAGAAAACTCCCAGAACCTCTTAAACAGAACGAGCGAGGTTATCAAACACACTGTCAGCAAAATCGAGCGGCGGTGCCCTGAAGGAACGCTTTGCACTTGTGCCAGAAAGGTAGTGTTTTCACTGCCGTCCAGTACTGCTACTACTCTCTGCTGTGGTGCCCATGTCACTGCCATCTGCTCCAACAACTCTACCCATCCCCGTCGGCCAGATGTCCGCCTGTGGCGACGAATGGGCGGTGATGTCTTCACCATAGTCAACTACAGCCGTGAGCATGGCTGCCAGTCATGCAGCCTCCAAATCGGTTCAACTGAACTTTTGCGATCAACAACAAACACAACATTCAAAACTGAAGCCCAAAATCGCCGGATCACCTGAGCAAAGGCGTGCCAGAACCCCGTGTTGACGGCCCAGGGTTTGACTACGTACTCTAGTTCGCGCGCACGTGGCGGCCCCTGGAGGTCCCTTAAGGAACAGTCCCTGGACAAGTCCGAGTCAGAGATGCGTGCGCTCCAGGACGCGGACTTGTGGACCCCCAAAAAGAGCGCCACCAGAGCACCCCAGGGAGGCGCCGACAAGGGCCCAAGAGCAGGGATCAACTGGTGGCAGGCCTGAGCATGCCGACAAGACAGCTCTGAGAGGCCCCAAGATAGCCCGTAGGTGCCAAAGAGAGGCCTAAGACGGCTCCTGCAATCCGTCCTCCCTTTCCCTGCCTCCGCTCCCCTCCCCCCCTCCCTTCGGCCCCCTCCCCCCTCCAAGTCCGTCCATCCTGCACCTTCTCTCCATCTTCTTCAAGCTCCCTCACCCACCCGCGCGCCCACAGCAAGAAACCAAGGTCACCGAGCGGGCCGACGTCAAACGGAGTCACGTGACACTCACAAACAACACGGACTCAAGGATCTGGGAGAGAAGTGGAAAGAGATCAACATAAAGACAGAGAAAGAGAGAGAGAGAGAGAGACAAAAATCATTCACTGCGTGGAGCTGACAAAATGTGCATTTCATTATCCTGTCGCTTCTCGCTGAAGAACTCTGTCTGTGAAAATCTAGGTGTGAGCGCGAGTCGGCGTGGACAACGGGCGCGACAACGACGATCGAGACAGCGACGATTTCAGTGATGTCAGTGGGCATCTTCCAGGAGAGATGAGAGAAGCGCAAGTGGAAGAGCGAAGGGGGCACTGGACCACCAAAGGGAAGAAGGCGAAACGAATTTGAGCATGAGTGATCTGAGTGCGAAGGAATCTGATTGTGAGTGAACTCGGGTATGGTTGAGTGTGAGTGCCAGTGGGCCTTGGTATGGGAGAGTCTGAGTCCGAGTGGACTTGAGAATGCGCAAATCTTAGTCTGAGTGCATCTGAGTGAGAGTGAGCCTGAGTGTGGGTAAGCCTGGGTGAAAGTGAGTATGAGTATGTACAACGAGTACGAGTCTGAGTCTGAATGGGTCTGGGTACGAGTGGGTCTGGCCACGAGTGAATCTGAGGGTGGGTGGGTTTGAGTGTGAGTGATTCTGAGTGTGAGTAAGTCTGAGTGTGAGTGCGTCTGAGTATGGGTATGGTGATCCTAACCAGTACGAACCATCCGCGATGTTCTGCGGGTCCGATTCGCCACCGCTCATTCAAAAATATCCTGCCCGTGGTCTGGTGGGAAGAAGACATCCTCCAAATCTGTTCCGGAAACCGAAGATGCTGCGGACGCAAACAGGCAAATCGCTCAAAACATCCATGCAATCTGGGCTCGAACGGAAGAGTCGCCCGAGACATCTTTAGAATCTGCTCTGACGTCCTGGAGCCTGCTGCAGCCTCCTGTGGCATCCTGAACAAAAATCCGTGCCTACGAGTCTGGCCAACAAAGTAGGCAAACCGCTCGATACGTCCTCAAAATCTGGCCCTCCTTGAGGGCGAAAATGAGCGCCTCGCTCGAGACATCCTCAACATCTGCTCCACGAGCGGAGGATGTCGAGCACCGGAACAGGCAAAACGCTCGAGACATCCCCGCCATTTCGGCGCGAACGGAAGGTTCCCCTACCCCCTGGCGGCTCCCCCTTGGGGGCCAGAGGAATGCAATACCCCCTGGCGGTTCCCCCTTGGAGGTGCTGGAACCCGCGCCTCGCTCGAGACATCCTCAGAATTTGCTCCGCCGTCATCATCATCATCATCATCATCATCATCATCATCATCATCATCATCATCATCATCATCATCATCATCATCATCATCATCATCATTCTCATCATTATCATCATCATCATCCTCATCCTCATCCTCATCCTCATCCTCATCCTCATCCTCATCCTCATCCTCATCCTCATCCTCATCCTCATCAGCATCATCATCATCATCACCATCATCATCATCCCCACCATCATCATCATCATCATCATAATCATCATCATCATTATCATCAGCAGCAGCAGCGGCAGCATCATCATAATCAGCATCAGCATCAGCATCAGTATCAATATCAGTATCAGTATCATCATCGTCGTCGTCATCATCATCATCATCACCATCACCATCATCACCATCATCCTCATCCTCATCCTCATCCTCATCCTCATCCTCATCCTCATCCTCATCATCAGCATCAGGATCATCATCACCATCATCATCATCATCAGCAACATCAGCATCATCATCGTGACGCTATCCCTGGCCAGGAGACTGTTTGTGTCTCTCAGGCCAGGCAGGTCCAGCAGGACAGGTCGGCACACGGGCAGAGTTCGGCAGGAAACGGACGAGAGAGGAGGACAAGCGGAGGACACAGACACACCACGGCACCACAAGCCACGCACAACACAACACAAACGAACGAGGAGAGAGAGAGAGAAAGAAAACAGGGAAGAAAAAGGAGACAGAGGGCAGGCACGGAAAAGGCTTGAGCCGTCGCGGTTGCAGACAAACCGCACGGCCCTCCCTCGCTCTACGATTACAGTTCGAGAACAACCCATCGTGACGCTATCCTTGGCCAGGAGACTTTTTGTGTGTGTCTCAGGTCAGGCAGGTCCAGCAGGACAGGTCGGCACACGGGCAGAGCTCGGCAGGAAACGGACGAGAGAGGAGGACGAGCGGACGACACAAACACACCACGGCACCACAAGCCACGCACAACACAACACAAACGAACGAGGAAGAGAGAGAGAAGACCCCTAGACAACCCGAACGGGATTCTGGCATTTGCCGCGTTATGAAATAATTTGTCGGGGACGGACTAAACGATTTGAGTCGGCACTCCGCATCAGAGCCCGGGCAAAGCAGACACAGAACCGAGAGGGATAAGGCTCAGCATCGCGAGTCCATAGTTTGCCGAAGCTCTGATCGACACCTGTTAGAACAATGTGTGGTTTGGACGAGTGACTGCGTATACCACTACGCCCATGACAAAGAGCGGGGAGATGGACAGCAAAGCTGGGAGCCCAGATCTGCACCCTGGTCCTTTTACGCCAACAAGCCCCGAACCCGCAGTAGTCTACGGTGCAGGCCTGGCTCGTCGAGTGACGGGCAAGGCGCTCGAGCGGGGGGGCCTTCCACAACAAGCTGGACCCATGATTTTGGAGCGCAACGGGAGTGCCCACACGAAGGCAACCTCGAGCCACCCGAAGACAACAACGTAACTGGTCGTTCCCACGTTTGCAAGCTTCCGAGGCCCTGGTGCCCAGATAAGGTTGGCCCCAAATGTGCTCGGCACTACGCAGTGTACACCAGCTGGAGCCGCGTGGCCCGTGGCGGGCCTGGGACCAGGTGCAGCAAGGCGTCCCCATCCAAACCGCTGGAACCACATTGCTCGAAATCCATCCCAAGAGGGTCGTCCGAACGACCCTTCGATTCAAATCGATCCAGGGCTGTTTCAAAATGTCAACTGACATCGTCGCAAACCCCTGGGCGCGCATGGCCCTGGACATGCCCGCGGATCCCGCAAACAAAAAATCCAAAAAGACCTGGCTGCGGCGACTACTTGCTGACCCTAGGGCGCGCCGCAAAATGCGGCGAAGGCGAAGCCTTATCTCTCGATCCGGCAGCGCAGCCGCGCCAGGAAGGGCGCTGGTGGCAGCGCCGCGCCGTCCAACACAATGCTGGAGAGGTTGCTCCGCACGGCGCTGCCGAAGTCCAGCGCCGCCTTTGGAACCTTGTGCAGCTCCGCCAACGCACGGGCCTCCTTGCCATAGCGTTTCATCATGGCGTCGCTTCGCCAGCGGCCGCGCGCCTTGACCAACAGGTCGTGCGAGGCGCCGCCGTGCCGCAGCCCGTAGGCTGTGATCCCCATCGTGGCCACGCCGGGCGCCTCCGTCGCCTCCTGGATCGAGACCGTGAGGCTGCCGGGCTCGAAGGGCCAGATCCGCTGCTCTGGAGAGCGGCATCTCTCCTTCAGCTTCTGCAGGCACGGGCGCAGGAAGTCGAGATCGTCGAGCGCCGCGCTCTCGTCCCAGGCGCCGACCTCGGTGGGCTTCTCCAGCTCGACAGGCCCCAAGAGCAGGCCCCAGCACAAGGCCTGAGGGCCCGCCATGGCCACAGGTGGCACCAGCTGGAGGGCTGCCAGCGAGTCGCGCTCTCCGGGCCGCAGGTACGCGCTGAAGGAGAGCAGGACAGCCACCGCCTGCTCCACCGGGCGACGCGACAGCAGGTGACCCACGATGGCCAGCATCAGGACGTGCGGCACGGGCAGGCGTGCCTTGCGCGGGACGACCTTTACCCAGCCCGCAAGAGCTCGAACCGAGCGCGGCAAGGTCTGATCTCCATATCGACCCATCTCT